TTTATAGGATATCCTAAGGATATCCTATAAAGGACATCCTAAGGTCATCCCAAAACATCCTGAGAATATACAATTTTCCTCAAGGCATCCCAGGACGTCCTAGGACATATTCAGGATGATCCTGAGGACGTCATGTGCTATTTGGGAAGGCTCATTGCAAAAGTTAGAGAAGTTAACCTACACATATAATGAAAAATCTATAGCAAATGTTTTGTTATATAACGAAAATTTTTTCATCGAAATTATAAAGAGACCTAAAACTATCAAGATACCTCACGACAGTTTATGTAACTTGAATATTAGCAATCATTGACAGCTATTCCAGCAAAATATGCGATATTTCACCAACCGCGGCAGCACTAGTCTCTACGCACACAGCGAATACAAGCGGATGGACACCTTATCCGTAATATCCTGTGTAAAAAAAATCGATATAAATGTTTAAACATCAACCGACTAGTCTCTTATTAAATTTCTAAAATTATTATCTCTTATTGCTCTGATTGTATGTGAGTAATAAAATCAAATAAGTTTTAGAACAATTGTTTTAATAGCAAGCTGTGATTTTATTCTCTATAAGGAATGTAGTGAGATCACGATACGGAGTACGAGTAATAGAGCTTAGAGAGACGTCAGGAGGAATGGTTGTGGGTTCCCGCCAATTTCCTGGCTTACGACCACCTTTGGAGGCTTTAGTTCCACCACCTCCACCCCACTGCCTCGCCACTCTTACCCTCGTTGCCGAAGATTCTACTGGGAATGTGCTCAAACATCCTCTTCCTACTGCCTTTTAAAGGTCGGCAGACACAATGACGTGCATAATTTTATCTTCTAGTCCGGCGAAGATTGTTACAGTTCATAAGCAATATTGGCTTGATATACATATTGTAAATTATCCAAAGATGTTATATTTTTCATTTGTTTTTCGTTTAAAAGTTTATTAAGTATCTTAATTAAATGTGTACAGAAATAAAGTTTCTATTGATATCTCTTACGCGCTAATTATATTTGTTAATAAATCTGCATAGATAAAATGAGATATTTTTAGACATATATATACTATAATAAATGCAACTGAGTGAGAAAATGCAACAGAGTGAGAACATTTGGAAAATAATATCTGTAGAAATATCTATCATTTAATTTGCTTGCTGACTTATGTAATTTTTAATTCTATGATGAATATAAAAGAATATCTCTAGTTTCTATTTAATGTGAGAACATAAAGTTAATCGTCCAGATATCTCACGGTGATATCGCAGTTTTCAGTTTAGAGTTATTAATCAAAGTATTGTACTGCCATTGTATATCTCCAGCTTCTGAAAATACGATTTCAGCTAGAGTGAAAACATGGCGCAATTTGCACGTGAAACTTAAAAAAGTTTTAATTTTGTTTTAATGCTTCCGTTAGAAACTTCAACCTCGGTGAAACAGTGAAATTTTTAGGTACGTTATAGATTATACTTTCAAATTACGATTTGTACAGCTGAGAAATCAAATAGAAGCTTATATCCACACACATATTATATAACTGACATATAGATGATATGGATTTTATATAACAATGTATGGCGTAGTCAAATGACAAATATTTGATAACACATCTTGCTCATGTACAACTCGTTCCACGTTGCCGAATATGCAGGGAACTACTTTATAAGAATTTATTTTGTAACAATAGTCTTTAGCGTTCCGTGAGCCACAGCCTCAACCTATATTAATGTAACCGTAATAATTAATTAATAACATCCGTAACGTGCACAAATGCGTTGTGTCCGAAAACGAGGAATATATTTAACGTATGTATAAGGCATTGGAAGGTGCTTGTGTAATCATTAGAGCTCGGAAAAGAAGTCGGATAACAAAAAGAGACAGTCACCCGCTCTCCCGTTACCCGTTGTACACGGTTCTGGGGAGCGATCGCGTGCACGATCGAATTCGATCGGTCGACTTCTCATACGTCTCTACTCTACAGGTTTCATGGTTCATGCTTATTTATTATAGAATAGTTTCCCTCAGACCATAGATTGATCATGTACGAAGAGTGGTATCGGATGGCATATTCCTTCTCGAATTCGAATTCGATCGGTGCACGCGATCGCTCCCCAGGACCGATTCCACGAGTACCTGCATTGGCGAGGGTGTCCGTGGCTATATGATTCTCCACATATGCTATGGATATCTACGTATTTATACGGAGGCACGTATTACACAGATATGAGTTGTATCAAATTAATAATACATAATAATAAAACAAAAATAAAATTCATAAAGCTCTGATGTGAAGTCACAGATACGAAGTAATAAAGGATATAAGAGCCAAGACGGATGTTAGTGTCTGAATGATTTTAATTTTTAAATTTAGTGTGAAAAATTACATCAGCAGATTTGAAATTGAAATCTCACTAGGCAGGTATGACATGCCTCCGTGGTCGTCTCACCAATTCGACCACTGTCTTGGCTCTTATAACCTTTATTACTTCGTATCTGTAAAACAAAAATCTTGCGCGTTTACACATTGCGTTCATTACTTTTAAATATTATTTTAATGACAGATGTTTTGCCATTTTGAAAGAAAGAGGAGAAACTTAGCTGCACATTAGTTCCTTAACAATTACTACAATAGCTTCTAATTATTTATATAAGATTAGAGACAAGATAAAATGTAGGAAATTAAAAATTTAATGTGACTCTATGATCCATACATTATTACAACAAAATAAATTATTAGCTATATTTTATTAGGTAACTTCTTCCTCATATGACAATTGAAATGTTTCCATAGCAAATAATATAATATTACCCATGTCGATTCAGGTACCCTTTTAATGCGGGTACCCGTGGAATCTGTCCAGAACCGTATACTAGGGTGGAGCGTTCAAAAAAA